ATCCAGTTATAAATTCTGTTACGCGAGAAAGTTATCCTAAATATTTATGTGTGCGATCTCGTCGCATGTACGTCGAAATTTATCCTCCGATGCCGGATTAAAGCAATAAGTAATATGACGATCATGAGAGAGAACGAGAGTAGAGAGTTGAGTAATAGTTTGTTGATATATCGAGAAAAATAATTTTGTTGTCACTGTTGCAGTCGCCGTTGTATATTTTTTTATCCGAAAGTCAATAATGAAATTTGCTAGTACAATCATTTCATATTACAATAAGATTGATTTCATTGTCTTAACAAAATTATTTTTAAAACCTCTTGAAAATATTAATTTTATTTGTTGAAAATAATTTTGCGTATCGACTTACAAATTATATTGATATAATTACATTAATATGTTTCTGCAATCAGATTTTTTATTAAGCAAAGCCTTTTTATTTTATGAACAAAACCAGTTTTGTTATAATATCAAATTATATTGATTACAGCAGCAGTATCTTTCATATTAAGTGTGCAACGACGGTTTCACTTACGACAATAAGATTCTTTTTAGTCTCGTATAGCAATCGTAATGCGAAACGATCAATAAACGATCGAGTTATTGATCAGCTCGCGCGATCCAATCTTAGACAACCTCAGATAGGATGGAGAAATCTTATTTTCTTAAATCGCTTTTTCCCCATTGCTACTGAAATCGGTCAAAGTTCTTTCGTTACACTCTCTAAGAATCTATTACGAAACTACTGACTTCAATTGAGAATGAGTCTTCTTCATATTACAATTCTATCTTCTATTTTTATTATGGATCTTTTTTGAAATCGATCTATCTGATGCGCCACGAGACAATAGACAATGTTCTCCAATTTGCATTATAATAAACTATTTTTTTCTAAGTTCTACAAAATTAATGATTTACAACTTAGAAAATTGAATATATAGCAGAATAGATTTGTCGATAATTCGATTTTTTTATTAAGATATAAATGCAAAAAGTTTATTATTTTAGATTTGACTAATTTAACAATTGTTTTTAAACATTTTTTTTATTAAATTTGCTACAAATATTAAGTTTGAAAAGTACAGCTTCATTGAATTAAAAGTCCATTCTTCTTCATTCAACTAAAATAGTTTTGTAATAGGTTCTCTGAATATTTTCCACTTTTCTTTTGCTCTTTCCGCTGTACACTTGTTATAGACATATTATTTCCAATAATTCGCGAATATTATTTTTCTAATCTTGATTCGATCTTGGTGTCGACTATGCCGGAAATATTTCCTCTTCAGTGTGTCTGTGGAATTGTTACATTTAAGTTCTCTCTAATGCTCCGAGCATCCAAGCAAATATGCAAGAGAATGATGTCCTTTATCAGGCTTCTAAATTTCGTCCGCTTCGCTTTATATCATTTCGCAACGGCGGGTATTCACGATCCGAATAACAATTCGAGTTCGCGTATACCGTAACTTAAATCAAACAGTTTACGATCAAATAGAGATAACGACTTGACAAGGAAAGGATTTGGAAGCGTGACAAAGTTGGCAACATTAGGCACCACTGTGACATTTTTATTCTGATATTTGCGGAGGAGTATGGCATACATCTTCGATACCGCGAGAGAGCCTGCATCGCCGCTAGAATCGCTTCTTCCTTGAAAATCACTTTGGAATTGGACAGTGGTCTTGCCATTGATCGCCGTCAAAGATTTCATTCGGACAAAGAAAATCCTTTGGAGAACAGAAAACGGAAAGTATTCACGCGAGTTGAAATTTTGATGAGGCACGTCTCATCTGTTGGCGATTCTAGTGTTTGCGAATTACAAGCAGCCTCACTCATTCCAAGCGAGATCGTTTCTCCTGTAAACGAGATTCACTCAAAAATGTCTTCCTCTCCCTTCATATCCTGTCGTATTCAAGTTGAATGTTTTTATCGTCCCTATAAATACGAAATAGATATATGATATACCAAGGACGGTATTCACTGCCATTTCTTGGACAAGAAACAAGAATTTCTTATTTCTAAACACGCAGATATTGCATATATTGTATAAGTAAGAAATTCCTGTTTATTATGTTTATTGAACGAACACAATTTTGCAAGAATGTCAATTTTTATGCGTTTTATATACATCGTAATGTACATAAAAAACAAGATGTATTCCTTTATGAGGGAATGAAATTCACAAATAGTATACTTTTCAATGTAGCTTCATTTCTTATTATTATTTCTGAGAATTTCTGAGAATTTTAAAGATTTAATTTTTTCAAAAGAATATTTTATTCTTCTTTACATTAAAGACCATTTAAAAATAAATATCGCTTATTTTGTTCAATATTAGAACATATCTCTAACGTATTACAACATATCATTGAAATCAGAAGACATTTGAAAGAGAAAGAAACGACCAGTGAACATCGTCCTGAAATATCATTAAAATGTACTACGTGAATAGCGCTAGAGAAACTGTGTCGAATGTCACAAATAATCAAAATGGTAGAGCAATAAATGAGCGATTGAGGGGAATATACATGAGATGACATCGGAAAGTTTCCACGACGCGAAGATTGATGGCTAATTTCGTCCACCGCGACAGTAGTGGAAATGCCTAAGAAAAAGAGCCATAACTCGACGACTATTATCGTCTAACACCACAAAAGAGAGACTAGAATTTTTTTATTATTATTATATTCCATTATACATAGTTCAGCTATTATTACAGTTCTAACACGCTGATACTTACGAACGGTTTCGCTCTCGCCAAGCGAGAGATCGTTCGATCCGGCTCGAATCTGTCAAATAAATATCGGCTTAATAACGTAGAAACATTCTGATATATCATTACACAACATATCGATGTCATTAATTCGATTCTCCTAACGTTTAAATCAATTTGTAATTTGTGTGTACATATCAATCAATTGTGTATACATATCACCGATCAATTAGGACCAGTCTATTATTCTTCATCGGTCTACCAAGCAATCTCTCTGCTGAATTTGTTCCTGCAAAAAGATACAAAATTTGAGTGAAAAGTAAAGCTGTAGAATATCGTGCGAATATCTTCCTTGCATCCGTAATCCTGAGAGGAAAATCCTGTGAAGCTAATCGTCGCACGGGATTTCACGGGATCGAATATTTATAATCGTGCAATTTATAAACGTGAAAAAAAAACAGAAAAATAAACAAATATCGAATCTTCGAGACAAACGTTGCGAGAACGATTCTGGCGTGAGATTCTCGGTTCTGAGAGAGTGAAAAAAGAGCTCTCGAGCGACCGACGCGCCGTAAAGAAATTTTCCATCCGTGTCACAAACGCACACATACGAAGAATTTTACGTTGCTCCAGAAAAAAAAGAGCGTATCGTACGATAGGAAACGCTGATGAAACGCGCGTCGATCGTCTGTCTCGTAAAGTAAGAGGCGTGAGCTTGAATTAGTCTGACTTTCCACGATCTCTTAATAAGAGTTAAGAGAGTTGCGCGCCCGTTGCTTCTTTCAAAGAATAATAACGTCGCGTCATCTCATGCATGTGTGATGAGGAGGGAAGATAAGTGGGATACCGTTTACCTTGTAAATTTACCTTGCATTCCGAATTATGTATAGGGTCGGATCCTGTCCTTGTGGGGAAAAAAATCGCATAGCTGTCGATTTAAAATCAACCGAGTTTCTACTCGGAAAAATAGAAAGCGCGACGCTTGGAGCAACGAAATAATCAGTTAAGCAAAAGTAAAAGGAAACGGGAAGAAACGTGGAGAAAAACTGATTACTTATAACGTTCGCCGTTTCTCATTTAAACGTGAAACAATAAGTAAGGTAATAATGTTTTTCATTAGCGAGGATAAGATAAGACGAGGAGGAACGTGTATAGTTCGATACGCTCGTGTATTCGCGGCGCGACGCGACAAAAGGAACAATAACGAGAGAGAGAGAGAGAGAGAGAAATGACTCCTGATTCCGACTACGACGATTAATTCTGCTATTTTATTACCGTTTTTCGTAAGCTTAGTGTTCTACAAAACGACTCAAGATTACGATAATTCGTGTAACAAGGCGATCCCCCAGTGGCTGCCACCAGTAGTCTTTGTAATAAAAGCGAGCATCTCGCATGACGCGCTTCTGGTCGCAACTGGTCGAATACGCTGTATTCTCGCCTCTTTTTTTATTGTTTTTATATAAATTACGAGACGAGAAAAGGATTCCCGGCGACGGGAATTTTCGCCGGATAAAATCGGTTGAAAACCGATTAACGATTTCTTCAAGTCAAAATATAATAATCCGGCCCAAATGACCTTAATGATCTCTGGAGGGAAATTGGAGGAAACCTCGGAAACCTCGAGGCTCCGAAAGCCTCAGTAAGCGAAATATTAGCCGAAATATCGGCGCATCGGCGGTTCGCCGATTCAGATTCAGAAGCGGAATATCGCGAATGTGATTCGCGTTAAATTTGTTTATTCCGCCAGCACAACCTGTCGATGTAATCTGTAAACGGTGCCAGCTGCCAGCAGGAAACCGAGGAGAATCTGCAAGTAGGAATGTAAAAATTGATTTTGGAATCGATATAGATTCTGCTTGGTTTCAATCTGCCACTTGTATTCTGCTAACAGACTCTCTCATCACAGTTCCGCCGACGAAAATTTGTAGCGAACACTTTGCAAAATCTGTTTCCTCGACAGATTTGGCCATCTGGGTACAGTACAAACTAATTCGTGGACCGGAATCGCGCACGGAATATTAAGGCATTCCTCTACATTCCTCGTTCCATGCAAATATTTCTCTACGTAGAATAACGTAGGAGATCGATATTTTAAGTGAACGTAAAACCATTCTCGATTATTTTCAATTAGTTACCAGGATTGACACGATGCTGTAGTAGGAAATTGCTTGTCTGACACACGGAGGATGTCCACATGTTTTTAAACTTAAATAACGTCCGCCTTTAATCTTTCACGCGGCTGCGAATTATTCCGCAATTTCGCATCGCGCTGAAGACGACGGGGGCCATTGTCACGTGTTTAACGAAAAACAGTTACGTTACGACTCGAAATTTCTCTGTAAATGAAAAATTCCGTGTTGCTTAACGAATAATTTTAAAGGTTGCTACCAATGCTGCAATCTCCTCGATCCCACTCAGTTTTATAACTGATTGAATACCGATTGAATTTTACGAAGATTCTACTTTAACAATTTGTTCATTATACATACACAATATCAATTATATATCGTATATACCATTTGATTTTTATTATATACATAAACATATATCGATCGTTAACAATGTGTTAACACTGTTAATAAATAAATTGAATTCTTTTATTAACAAGGGAACGTAAAGTTACATTCTAGGAGAGACAATTCGAAATATCGGTCTAATGAACCAATATCGTCATCGAATATCGTACCCCGATCGGATCACCAGAGTAATCACAACGTGCTGATTACGTGCAACGTGCAGATAACGCGGAGGGACTAGAGAAAAACTTGTTGAGCTTAGTTGGCTATTCATTCGATTTAAAATAGGAAATATTACGTTAACGTTAAAGTACATGTGTATATTACGAATAACGTCGCGAAATTTGGATTACAGTGAGATACGCTGAAATCACCCGGACAATATACCCGTCTAGAGGATGTCTCAAAGATATCTTCAAGACATTTCTTAGAACGCGTCGCGATGTTCCCTTGGGGGAATTTTACCGGATTTATCCTACGGGGATTCGTTATTAGGAATGAAAAATTAACAACGTGTCAATGAAATCCAATCGTCGTGTGTATGGCGAGCGTTGCTGCTCGTGAATAATTCGCGATCGTGGCGTATCTGGACATCGTAAATGGACATTCCTTGAAAGAGAGCCTCGCTGTAAAGCTCTAGTAATATTTAATCTTCGAGATGCGAAAATCCAAATACTAAATCTCCTCCCTTATCGATTCATCTCGCGCAAAATAATTTCCATCCTTTTGACACGTGAGGTTCAGCATCCGTTTAACTCCTCTTACTATAATTCTTTTCTTTTGACGATCTTAGAATATTTAGACGATGCGTTCTATCGAAAAAAAAAAAAAAAATGTACCATAACGTAAACAGGAAGATATCTATGGGACAACCGAGTCGCGTAAGATGAGAAATAAACGTTAACTCGAATTTAAAAAACAAAAAAAAAGAGAAAAAAAGAAAAAATCTCTATAAACGTGTTAGATAAAAGAATCTTTCGACCAGCACTTTTAGGTGCTGCCATGTCTTCCATTATTTGTATATTAATTAATAATAAAATTGACTATAACGTATTATATAATAAAAAAAATATACCTTCACGCCTATGCGCGCAACACACACACACACACACACACACACACACACACACACACACACACACACAACACT